GCTCAAAATCGTTTGCAATAGTGCAAATGCATCCTTTCTTTGTGCTCTCCTAAATTCTAATCTTCTGAGTTCTTCATGTTCCTTTCTTTTTTCTCTTTCCAAATTTATTTCACTGGATTATACTCCCTGAATAGCGTCTTCGAACCTTAATCTTTACGATCACTGTTTATACTTTCACTACCTCTACTACTATGGGATTTGAATCGACAACTGCATTTCTGTGCAAATTTGGTATAGCAATTCGAACTGATGTACGTACGTACGTACGAAGTTCTACGTTGTTGATGACGGACTGACTCTGCTAAAATCGTGAACGTCATCAAATATATTGCAGGTCAGAAATGGCTGTACTTTTAAACATCAGTCATCTTTGTTTCATCTAGTGAAATACATATATTTGAGAAAAGTGAATGGGCAATTGATGTTCTGTTGATTTAGGTTAGCCTATATCAACTTTTCCATATCAGCCCCCTTCAAAATACAGTGTCGACTTGCTATATGAAAGTTTAGTCGAAATTCAAACATTTATTCCAGTAGTAATGATATCTATGTACACATTTGGGCTATCGGTGTCTGACTGTCATATCAGTCAGTTATATTAAACACCGAACCTGCCAATTAATATGTACCGACAAAAGTTACTAAGTATCAGTCCTATGAGAAGAAATTATCAAGATGCTTGACAGACGAGTTTCAATGATATTAATTTGATTTTAAATCTTTTAGATTAGGAGAATGATACCAGTCGATATTCAGTGACCAGTAATTACGCTTTGTCTTATTTTCTGCTGCATGATTTATGAAAAGATAAACAGAAACAGATTTTGTCGAAGTTACAGAGTAAAGCTCCCGTCTAACGCTATAAAAATAATTTAAATAAAGTGATCGATAGTAGTATAGCGCTTGTTAATTATTGATTTGTTCTTTTTGAAATTAGTATGTTCTTCATTATTCTGTTGATATCAGATTAAGTAAGCATTTCTGATGTTGATTAATGTATTTACTGGACAGTGTAAGTAATATGCTCTTTAAATTTTTACATCTGGATCGTTTCTATAAACACATCAGCAAACCACCTAACCAATGCGCACCTACGATCCCGCTCGCAGGATTCGAACTCAGGGCCTTCAGACTCGCGCGCGAACGCTTAACCTACTGAACCACTGAGCCGGCATCCAATGGTGATAGTGTCTAACATCAACCAATCCACGAAATTTCGCGAGCGAGATCGTGGATGCGCACTGCTGAGGAGTCCCACAGTAGGACAAAACGGCCGTCCAGTACTTCCAGGTTTCCAAAGGTGGTCTAACATCAATCGGCTCATGATCTCAATCAAAAACTTAATAATCTCCATAACCCGTATACTAGAAACCACCTAACCATTTATCATGTTCATGTTATTGTCGAAATCTTAAAATAAAAGAACTGTTTTATTTTGTCTTACAACATTAGTCGTGATGTGCTTCTATTCGTAAAACGGGAAAATAATTTGCACAACACTTTTATATTAGCGATAGTAGGATGTGGATTTTGACAAACTGATCTATCATGTTGTATGATGTTTTAATTAATTTTTTTATATATAAGAGTAATCTTGAAATAGTCTGACAGATTTAAACTCCTTTTTGTAACTGATCAAATGTGTTGAACAAGTACTCATTTATCGTGTGAAGTATTAATAACAATACTTTGAACGGTAATTGAGTATGTTCTGTGTTAGTGTTATCAATGGAAGCATTAAATTTTGAGAGATTATGTCTGCTAGTCTGTCCAGTAAACACACTGATCACTCAACATTAAATTTTAAACAAAACCTGTAAAAAAAACTCGGAAAAGTTATGAAACGTTAAAGGCTGTTTATAGAAGCAAAGTACTGAAAAATAGCTCTTTAAGTATATCTACAGCTTCCATAAAGACCATGAAGACTACAACCTAGGTGCATCACACCAGTATCTCTGTACATTCAGTATTGATTACTACAAGTTTCTGATCCATGATTAAGTCGTTACATCTGTTCGGAGTCTTTACTCATTGAGCGTAGCTCTTTGGGATTCCTCATTTGAGAAATACAAGGTGGTCGTTTGGAGTTAGCTCCGCGACAATGTGAAGACGATAAAACGTAGAATGACAGCGTTTACCGAGGAGCTCAAATGATAGAGACTTCTCGCTATGTTTGGGAGAATAAAAGCTAAGATGAAACAAACGGCAAGCATTATGAAGACAGGACTGATTTACCCTAATTCTCATTAGCTAAAGTTATATGGTGGTTGGTCGCATTTCTATCGGACATAACAATAGCAAAGCCATCGGTTTGATAAGAGACTTTTTTCATTACACAAATGGTATTCACCAATTATTTTCCTCACATAACGGCCATAGGTAAGTCGACTCAGTAGCCATTACAAAATCATAGTGGCCTTCAGAATTTTGAAAGATACTCTTCGTAAATGCTAGATGGATGACAAAAGAAGCCGATTGGGTCATTCAGCAAAATAAAGACAGTTCAGTGACGAAGTTTTTTCCCTCACAATTCTATTCATTACACCTGTATGATCATATTTATAGTTATTTTTAACATAGCAGCTTGTAATAAGACATGCGTGTTGCGCCTCTAGCAAATTTATCAAAAATTTCCGTTATCTGGAGTATAATCTTCATAAGGGTTTTAAGGCTAACGCAACATTAAAGTGGAAATAATATACTATAATAATACTATAATATATACTATAATAATAACCATAAACACTATCACACCACTGTCGAAGAACAAAATCAATGGTCCGTATCGTATATTATTCGCAGTTTGTAATTTGAGCATTCCTCAAGAAAATTTATCAGAATAGTTCCTATAATTCGATTGGTATAGCAATGAAGCTCTATGAATTATGGCATCCTGTGACATGTTTATGCGCCTTGATAAACACATATTCACAGGAGGATTCACAAGATAGAAGAACATGATAGTTTTAACGGAATTATTGCAATTCAAATTGCAACACTACTCGATAGTATAAAGGGGCAACTATCTAATAATGCCAGAACAAGTTTAAACGAACACCGAGAAATCGAGGGGATAAAAGAGGGAATTTGTAACTACAAGCGTCTTAATAACATATTCGAAAGGAACAATAACTTTTCTGCAGATTGTTCTATTACCAAGTGTTAATTCATTCGTATACCTTCATTTACTTCTTCCGCAGTCTGCGATCATGCACGTCGCTCTTTGAGGCTGTGTATTTCCAAAAGGTGACAATTAACTCGTTCTCGATGATAACCATCCTGAACAGAAGTAAACACCATTTCCTGACTCTTATTATGTGCTGTAATTTTATCTGATAAGAGGCTGTAGGTAGTTGTCAGGATACTTTGGATATAAGTTTCGCGCTAATTGGGATAGCTACTACTCAATAATTAATCAGTTGTAAATATCTGTCATATATGTTGGTCAGCCACGGCATGTATGCCTCGATGGTAAGGTCTCAAACTGTGAAACTGGGTGACGCATGTTCATATCCTACAGGGAGCACTATTTCCAGTAAGATTGCAGATACGCCTTGTTGAAAAGTTTCACGAAGTCAATGTCCCGGATTTTCTGTCGATTACGTCCAACCAGCTAGCATAACATTTTACTACTCGCAATTTCAAGTGACTTCCACGTTGCAACTTGATCTATAGTATTCGATCGACACTAAATAAGGCATTGAAAACATGGAACTGGTTACTATTCAATGATCAGTCATTTATAATTTTTTGTTTATTCACTTACTTTCTTTTCGATTATGCTCTAGACTACATAACTAACTCTTAAGCACTTCACAGTTCGATTATTTTAGTTTCCTTTATTTTGTTTCCCATCAATATAAACGTACTTTTGAATATATGATGTCTTGTTTATTGATTTCGGCTGTTTTGCATGTAAATTAACCATTAGATTTTAGAATTCGTTCATGGACACGGCATTCATATTAACCTGAAATAAGTATTTATGGATATTATTATTATTATTATTATTATTATTATTATTATTATTATTATTAATTTTGTTTTTACAACTATTGTTACGATGTCCAAGATGTGGGCTCCAACAGTCAAGTCTTATTTGATTGGGGAGCAAGTAACTTACAAAAGTGATTTTTTCCAGTCGTCCATGACGCTTTATCGTGTTTATTTTCGGTCAGTATTTGAATAAAGGAATATCATTTTGCTACATAAACATTTTTTCTTCTGACTGATAGTTTTGTCTTTTGTCTCAAATCATTCTAAAGGGCATTTGCCAATAATACGGTCTGGTGAATAGTCACCACTTGACTTCGTATCACTGCATATTGATTAGCATCCATTTAAACAGTTGCAAAGTTCACTTATCAAATCATCAACTCCTGTATAAAAATGATCTGTGTTTGTAAAAACTTTATTCGGCTTCTTTCTTTACCATTCTATTTTCTGAACTCTTTTTGTTAACTGATCAGTTCATGATTTATACTATGAAATTTCTGCACTCTTCACAAAACCCTATTTACTAGTGGTAATTATGTGCTCATTAGTGACTAGCTTCAAAATGCAATTCTTGCAGTTCTGATGAGAAGCAATGACCAGTGGAGTTCAGATATTTTGGATATGGAACAGTTATCCGCCACAGGCAATGAATGAAGGTTGCGCAATATCGTGAATCGAATAGAGTTGAACATCAACATTGCTGTATTTTTACTCAATGGTCTAGAGGCTAAGTGTTTACGTGCAGGCCAGAGGTCTTAGGTTTGATCCCTGACAGTGGGTTTATGGATACGCACTGCTGCGTAATCCCATAGTAAGATGAAATGGTTGTTTAGGGTCTCCAGATTTTCAGTAATGACGTAGCTAAGAATGACACGTGATGTAAACCGCGAAAATATTACAATCTCTACAAACGTTCGTATACTAATTATTACTCAATTGAAATATTTATGAACAATATATTACACATTCTTTAATTTTATTATACAAGTTTATTGTAGTTTAAAATGAAAACAGTTGAAGAGCAAGCAGAAATAGACGCTCTTATTAAATTGAAAGGTGGACCAGAAGATAATCTGTCATGGGATCCTGAAGTGAGTCATGTATTACCCAAAATATATAGATTTTTACTTAAGACTGGAACTCAAAAATATCGCTTTTGTGCTAGTAAACACTCGTCAGTAAGACATGTCTACAATCATATAGGAATTGGTCCTCTTCACCGGATTCATACCTGTATCACCCAGAGTCATACAGTAAAGTACATTAATATTGAGCTCTTTGGATCACAACATCCTAACCCATTAGTTCCAATCACACAAAATCAAAACAGATCACCGAATATCGAGTCAATTATACTAAATAGTATATTACAACTAGATTGGTAGAATTTAATCAGTAATAAGAATATGATAAAGACCTCACTGATTACTATTCGGCGGTCTGTCAGTATAAATACTAGTATAAAACTAGACAGTTACTAATTCTTATTAATAAATGAATTATAAAGCCTATTCATTTCATTGATTGCAAAATTTTACTCTTTGTCAAACAAGTAGTACACAGATTGAAATCACGAGTCAATTGAAGCTAGACCACCACAGAAAACCTGGAAGCACTGGACGGCCGTTTCGTCAGCTCACTGAAGACAATGGTGTACGGTGGCGCAACTTCGTGGATTGGTTGAAGTTAAACATTAACACCATCGGATACCCGTTCAGTGGTGTGGTTGGTTAAGCGCCTGGCGCGAGACTGATAGGTCCTGGGTTCGAATCTCGCGAGGTGCGGGGTCATGGGTGCGCACTGCTGAGGAGCCCCATACTAGGACGAGACGGTCATCCACTGCTTCCAGGTTTTTCATGGTGGTCTAGATTCAATTGACTCATGATTTTAATCAGTGAAATTTCTAAAATCTCCACAAACCCCTTCTGATAACAAGTATCGGTAATTTAACATCATAAATTTTTAATTTATGTTTGCAACAAAACCTTAACTATTTATATGGAGTTCAAATAAATTATGTGTACTTTTAATAACTGAGTTTAATTCCAAACCCTTTTTATATTCATTAATTGAATTGCATCCAGAAATTTCAGTCACATTTTATTGTATGTAAGATTGTATTCTGAAGTTGAATTCCCAGTAAAGATTGTACTTCAAGCTCTTACTTATAGTATATAATTGTGTTCTCCATTTAGGATATCAGGCTACCCTAGACTGGGCATATTCATAACAAACACTTGTGGATAATAACAGACTATTTATTCAGTTTGTTTTTTTACTGATTTTTGTCCCTATACTTTTTTCTTTCGATGTTGTTAAGTTTTTCGAGTTATATCGTTTAATTGCTGAGCTTTCATTGTCGTTCTGGACATCATTATCATCACTCTATGTAGAAGTGAGAATTTATAGAAGTATGACATTCAAATCAGTCAACAGTCAACCCATTCGGAAAAGGCCCAGAAATAATCTGATCGAAGGTTAACAAAATAAAATAGTCACCTTGAATACAAGGCAGCTGATGATAATGAAACCTATGAGGATAACCACTCACACTCTAACAGAACAAACTGATTTAAAACTCGTGGAATAATTAAAAAGTTCACTTCTACATGAAGTAAGTGCTGACAATGTTATCTAGAATGAGAATATAAGCTTCACAATAAAACCATCTAGCTTAGAGAACACAACATCGAAAGAATTTATCTGAGGTAAGAGTTTTCATTAATTCAAACTACTCTTTCCGGTTTTTTTTTTCATTTAGCCAACATTACCCATAATACCAATGGTTCGATCACAATCATGGGATTTAAGTACACTTATATTTAATACATTTTTCTACACTATTCTCACAATTATTATATTGGGAAAAGTTGTAATTATATATCGAATATTTTGTAAATTTTGTAAGTATCTATTAAGAAGGTTGATTTTAATTGATACAACCAGTTCAATGGAACCGGAGGATTGGAATAAAATACATATTCATAATTATACGTCGAATACTGTAGAATATATTCAACAATCACCTGAATCATATAGGCTTTTCACTGAAGATTATAAAGAATTATTAAAGATATTAAATTTTATTGATGAATATAGTCGTGACTAATGAATGTTGACAACAGACGAAGCAATTTTTGGCATAGAAACTTAAAAACAAAACTGTTCCATGTTTCTCTTGGTACATTTTACAAAGAAGTATCCTCCAAGTTCTAGTGTTAATTACTTTAAATTTTGATTATTATTCTCAATACTAGTCATAATTTTTAACTGAAATTACTACTCAATACCATAAGAGAAGTTTTGTGTATGTGTGTATATCTTTGATGTTCAAATCGATCGGATATCTGGAATCGCTCTAAGAGTAAATCCCTTCATTAGATATAAATTTGTAACGGTTCATATCTAGACTGAAGATATGTTGAGTCCCCATGGATTTGTAGAACAATGAGTGCAAGGAATTCAGGGAAACAGGTGAACAGTAGAAAAAGTAAGTAATGACTCAGTACACATATAAGATACACTTAAATTCAAAAAGTCGATAACAGTGAGCAATAATAAAGGCGTGAGATTAAGACAATCTGATAATGAAGACTTGTAGTGACAATTTCGAGGTTCAGTCATTAGGGTTACATGTTACTCACCATATCAGACAATAAAGTAACCCGTATGGACATGAGGTCTATAGGCTGAGGTTATCCGCATTGTTTTCCATGTTCGTTAAGTATGTATCCAATACATTTAGGCATCTTTTTTGTTCCATTGGTGAGTGAGTAGTGCATATTAGAGTTGATTTTTTTATTAAAGATTTCATCTCAAGTGGTAACTTACCATTTACATATGAAAGTCAGGACAATTGAATTTGATATATTTGTTAGTAATTCCCAGAACTGTTTAGTACGTAGTCTAGTAGTTACAAATGAACCAGTATTCAAGCCAGAAAGAATACACTAGACAGACTTGAAGGTATTTTGTTTGGGATTGGAATTAGATGCGTAATGATAAACAAAGCAATTACCAACTAGCGCAAACACCACATTCCTCACAGCTTAAGCAAGAATCCAGATTTTTGTCGTTTATTACACGTCTTTTCCGTAGGTTCATTTGATGTCTGTCCGACTCTGTACAGGATACGGATTTCGTATTATCTATAATATATGAATTAGGACTAACGACGGAAATTGGACTAGAACTATCTAGTTCCTGGAGTCGTACTACGTCTAAATGTTGGTTGTGCTAACTTAAATAGCCATCTAGAATTCGCATCATAAATTTTCTAATATTGTTTACTAGAATCCTTATAGATGGCCAAAAATAGTTCCCACAATAATATGTAACTTCTGTAGACCCTGAGCATCCTACATTTAAGTGAAAAACCCGTCTTTTAATTAGTTTAGTTGGAATCTATTCTGTTACAGAGTGCTTAGCACTTCTATAGTGTATCAGAAATGTGCTCACTTTCCTCTCCAGTTCATCAGACATTGTAGTAGCAATAAAATTAATAACAGTCTTCAACGACTTGACGAATTTTTCTTTCCGAATATTATAACAAGAGCGCCCAAGAGCAGTGAATAGATGTTTTCACCCTATACCATTCAACAGTGTAGTAACCGCATCTTCAGTGAAATGTGAGCCATTACCATACAGAAGCCTTCTTGTCTAAATACTTTCCTCAGTGTTTGGGGAAGTCATGAAAACTACTTCAGGGCAATTAAAGAAGAATTAATGATAATAAGTTGATATTATTTTCTGAAGAATAGACCGCTATAATCTGAATTAATTATCTCTCAGGCCTCAGAAGACCGACCATGGGGTCCACTTTAAAGGTTGATTTTTCGATTTATGACATCTTTCAAAACTGTTGTGAGACATATAACTGCATTTTAACCTTCTCGTGTAGCACTTAAAATGCATCCAAAGTATCAATGGGTTTCAATAAGCAATTATAAACAGTTTACCAGTAAAGACTGCACTAGTGCATAGTTAGAAGTATCCACAGGTTAATCTCATAGTGACTGTCAAGATATTTAGTCTACACGTTGAATTTTTCTAGTAAATCTGTTATGGATATTATACTAATCACCATTTATTGAAAAATAAATGTAGAACAACATGAATTAAATGGAAGGTAAATGTATTTGAATCAATTCAATGGTATAATAATCCTTGTCAAAAATGGTGCAGATTTATCTAAGGAATCTGAATAAAGCCATCTTTTAAACCAACTTTCGAATCGTCAAGTCAGTCAAGAGCATCTTCAGTATAAGCCGTGGTTCACGCTTGCTTCATCAAACGGCAATTCAACTTTAATCTGTAATCACCGTATATTCTAGGGGTTTTACCATCATACTTCATCAAACGGCAATTCAACTTTAATCTGTAATCACCGTATATTCTAGGGGTTTTACCATCATACTTCAAAAGCGTAACAATAGAAGTACACAAAGATGAAAATTGAACTGATTCAGTTATTCTTTTACCACCCAAAGCATTCAATGCATTGTGTACTGCTTGTCGAAAATCACAACCGATTATTCGTTTTTTTAGAATGACTAGATTTCTCTATAATTGAAGTTCTACAGGCTGGATTTTCATCCCTCTATTGAGATTAGAAAATGCAGTCATTAAATCCTTAAGTAAAGAGTCAGAATCTTCTTTGGAAGCTGACAAAGATAACTCTACTTCAATGCTTTTCAAATCTCCGAAACGTTGTACTGATGGTTACATTTTACCCACTACTAACTCAAGGCATCTATGAAGAACTGTCGTCTCCATTTAGCACTTCACAAAATCCTCGTTTTGGAAGTTTGTTCCCGGTAATTCCCAGTATCGAAACAAAATACACAAGACTTTTGGAAGTTAAGTTTAACACAAGTTAAAACTTTGCAAAAGGTACAGTCATATCGGTGTAGCTCTTTGGGATCTTTTATCGAAATGTTTCTTATGTTTTCACGAGAACGAAAAATCTAGTTATGCGACTACCTATCCCCCGATGAAACCAACTCTTTCTATTTAAAAGAATATAGGAAACTACTGGTCATCCAGAAATATCTTCACACTAAATGCCTATCTGTATGCAAAAATGTCAACTACAAAGATAACCTGTCAAGATAATTGTTCTATAATGTTAATACTCTTTACAATATGTACTCGTAGAATTTTATCATATACATAATATACTACTATATTAGACGAGTAGTCGCGATATCTTAGCGTTAATGAGTAATACTCGATTTTTAACGATTTATTCACATGTTTGCACAGTGTGGAAACTACGAAATAAATATGTTTCATGCTAAAATGAAGTAAATTCTAGACAAAAAGTATCTGTATTTGAATAAGGTCCTATTTCACAATCGCATCAAATCATCGATATATTTAAACACCTTTCTATTCAGTGGTCTAGAAATTAGATCTTCGAAAGCAGGACCGAAGTTCCTGGGTTCGATTCATTGTGGCGGGGTCGCGGATGCATGCTGCTAAGAAGTCCCATACTAGGTTGAAAGGGTCGTTCAGTTCTAGGTTTTCAATAGCTGAGGTGGATAGGTCAGACTTATTGGAAATCATCACGAGGCAAGCCACGACTTAGAATCCTCAAGGTAAAAGGTGAAGTCCAAGGAATATGTTGAGCGGGGAATCAAAGACAAGCATGAAAAGAGTGTATAGAGATTGGGAACAAATGTGAAGGAGAGCCTAGGACAGAATAGGTTGAGGATTCTTGGTCGGTGGCCTATGCTCTGCAAAGGAGTAACAGGCGTAAGTAAGTGACTATTAATCTGCAATCACTCAAATACTAATCAACTTGTCGGATTATGTTCCTAAGTTTTATGTAGATCAATTGGAAAAAAAATAGCACAACACTTGGTATATTATATTTTTAGATAGTTTTGTAGATAAATAGAGTAAAGAGGATGAGATTGGTGGTTTGAATAAATAATACCACTAGCGTTATTAAGCGTTAAACTGTAGGAGTTTGTTAGTTGAACATTATTATTCAAAGGAGTTTGAAGAGACTACTTTCCTGTTCATATACTACATAATTCGTAAATTAAAATGAAATAGTGGAAATATTTTCTGCTCTCTAGTTTAAACCTTCTTTAGGGATGTGAAATTTATCATTCAACTTTTATCTATTCTCACCTATGAAAACTTATAAAACGATCAAATCTAAAGAGAATTCACTCATCTTCAAATTAAATGAAAGTCCTAACAGTGCCTTCCAAATAACGTTTGATATTCAAAATTTCAGACTCCAACAAAGTAGCTAACTATTCATTTAAACAACATAAAACTATTCTATCGCTAACAGTACCGATCTAAAATGATTTAGGTGTAATTTAGAGTTGTAACTATTCTGAATTTCCTAGAAGTTTATCACCTATTATTTAACTATTTTACTTCACTTCTAATCATTCGTTTAGTGGAGGATCAACTATCAGAAAGAACTATCACTAAGTATGCTACCTTTGTCAGAATCTGTGTAACAACATGATTACTGATAAATCAAAAGTCCGATATCCAAAATCATAAAGAATTTATTTGATTAACAACCATGGACAGTGAATGAGATTACGAAATACTTGTTAACTGAAAACTATATATTTCAATATGCGTTCACTATTGTGACGATTATCTGAACTCAGAGTCTTCATCAGGGATTGGTATGTTAATGTTATATTGTGGAACATGGGACGGTGTTCCACACATTCTAATTTCAGATTTCATTGCTATTTCCATCGGAGAAAATGAAAGTGTGGTGTTTGTATGAACTAATGGTTTCTTTGTACTTATGAACTACTTGATCTCGAATTCCAAATACAGTACGTTTGTTCGTGCTCATCTATTACTTCTTGGTTAAGTTGTGTTATTTTTAGGAATCTTAGTTTGTACTGTAATTCAAATACTCCTAATTATCACAGAAAGTCAAATAAAACAAAGGTCTTCGCGGTTGCAGCCTGAATGTCTCTAAGAAAAACACTATTTTAAACCTAATAATGCTGAATGTTGGTGATAATGAAGTCTAGACACTTGAAAGAGATATACTCAAGTATAAACGTTATATAAGACATAGAGTCAGAGTCCCCATGTAACTT